AAAGAAAAGAAAAAGAAAAGAAAAAGAAAAAGAACGAAGCATCGTGGGGTAAGTCGATTGATGTTTCTCCTCCCCGTCTTGATGCCATGGAAAAAAAAAAAGGACTGCATACTTTGTAACCAAAAAAAAAAAAAAAAAGTTGTAACCCTCTTCAGCACATGCCTTCTCCCGGAATCTCCCGTCCTCCGTGTCAGCATTGTGCAGATGGACCGTCACCGCTTCCCCCCCCCTGCCCCCCGCCTCGCCTCTGTTGCAAAAAAGCCATCTTTTTGTGAACCCTCTGAAGACCCCCCTCCCCCTACTCGCCCTTTACACCCCTTTATTTGCATGTTGACGAAAGACATTCACTGGTCACTCCAGACCCCCCACCCATAATCCTCCCCTCAGCTGCAAAGAAAGCCATCTTTTCGCAAGCCCTCTGGTCCCCCCCCCTCCCCTCCTCGCCCTTTACACCCCTTGCTAGCATGTTGATGGTCTTGCAATCAAAATCCCCGTTGATATCCCCCACCTGTCAGATGTAACGATTGTTGCGCCGCCCCCCCCTTCCCGGTGCCCCACATGGCATGTCATGCATCCTGGAAAGGCCCATGACCTCTTGGTGCGCTGGCAACGCCATACCAGGCCCATTTCAGCCAGCAGTTGCTTACAACGATGTTTTCGTTAAAAGTGATTGTTTTCTACTTTTCATGTTCACTTTTTTTTTCAAGTGTAAAATGACACACATAACAGAGAGGAAAAAGAAAAAAAGCGATGAAGCAAGGCGAGATAGTGAAAGCTTAGGGAGGAAAAGTAGGAGAAATACATCATTATTTAGGCTACCAGAGTGGCCCGGGTCCACTTGCCCGGCCGGGCCAAAAAGATATTAAAAAAAAAATAAAATAAAAATAGTTTTAATTTAAAATTTTATTTTAAATTTGGTAAAGAGTTTCAGTGTGACTTTGAGGCAAAAATTATTCAGTTTATTTTTCTGCATAACATAGTTTTTTAAACTCTTTTTCCGATTTTTTTTTTTTTTTTTTTTTTTTTTTTGGCTACCACCTTCCCTGGTCCTTGCCTGGCCGGGCCGCCCAGGAAAATAGGGTGACCCGGGCGGCCCGGCTGGTAGCCTAAATCATTATACAATACGTTTCTTTTTTTTTGGAGTTGTGGAAAAACAAATTGCAAATGCCAACCATTGAAACTAGGTCACTCATTCTTAACCATCAACAAAATATTGAATGTTGTTATAAGCCATCATGATGTATCTGGAATTTCCACTCAAGCTAGAGCATCGACAAAATATCGAATGCGATTCTGTGGCTCATATGTGGGATGTTGTCTCGCGAGAACTTGAATGGAGGAAATTGACATTTCGCCAGCACATACGCAAAACCTAACATACAGACACCGCAACTACAACCATCCTGTTGGACAACATCCCATCAAACGATGTTCCGAAAGACGTCTGCCGGAAGCTCGCCCGCGACATATCTTTCGTGAAGTTTTTTACGCCACAACTCCATTCTGAATAACACGGCTAGTAATTCGAGCGATGTGAGGCGATCACCACGATGGAGGGAGTCTACAAGGAGAAATTCACAATTGCAACCGTCTACACTAACACATGCCAAAGCCCAGTGGTTTCCCAAGTTAAGAGGGATGAGTGCGAAGTTGAAATCAAAAAGATTTTCCCCCCTAATCCACTTCATTGCCTGACAGTAAGCAATTTTTTTTTAGTTAACTGATCAACCTGACATAGAAAAAGGTCCAAAAAGGAATCTCAAATATACACAAATTAAATGTTATTGGGACTCTTATCTCCAATATTTTCTCTGAAGACTGAACTTTATCTTGCATGGTCATTGTGGACCTGGATGACTACTAGCAGGTGCATATTCACGACTTTGTCATTTAGCCATCCTCCATCCTTGACGACGACAAAGATGTTTTTCTTTTCCACCTTCGTCTCACCCTTACAAACAACATGTCACATTCTTCGTTATCTTCACCGCTGGTCACAATCCTTTCAACATACTGCGTTAATACCTCAGTGAGGCATACCGTCGCTAGAGGAATCTGAAACGATGGGCCAAGCATTGGCGTGAATAACAATGCTATGTCTAAGGCTTTCATACAAGTGGTGGCTCTTTGAAATTTGAGACACCAGTTCATGATGATGCTTGCTTGTCTACTTGTTGTTGCTGCTGCTTTCTACAATAGACAAACTGCGACCTTCACGATGCAATTTCTTCCCTTATTTGGTCTCTGTTCCCACAACCTTAAACGTCCTTAGGGCAGTTGGCTTCACAAACGGGATTGTCATATGTTCGGGGTGTCTTTTAACGTTTTTGTGGAACAACGGCCGCAGTGGCAAGGCTTGCAAAACACGACGAATAATATTTTCGTCACTGTTCCTTTGAGAGTGTATGCCATGCGCTTTCCACGGTCCTTTACGCAGGTCTCCACGGTAGAGACCACAATCATGATCGACAATGGCAAGTAACATGAGTTGACGTTTGATTGCGTACTGTTCAAACTCACTCAGACATTATGAATGCAAATAAACATTGATAACACTAAAGCATTACAAGTCTTATCTTCTACTTCATGCTATGACATTGTGAATGCAAATAAACATTGATAACACTAAAGCATTACGAGTCTATCTTCTACTTCATGCTATGAAAGCGTTTGGGCACGCCTAAGCGCACTTTCACACCCCCCCCCCCCCCCC